GGCAACCGTTCAAATGAGCTCGAATGCTTTCGGCAGCCGTTCAAATACGGTGGTTGCTGGTTTCGTGCACGTTCATTCGGTTTGCCGAAGTCAATATCAGTATGAGCTTTTAAAGTATCTTCACTTGTGGTGGCCGTCTTTGCAAGCACTGCACGCGTTGCGCTGTTGTTCATTCATCCCCCGTTTTTAATGTTAGTAGGCTTAAAGTCACAAAAACAGCATTGTTTGCCAATCTCTGCTTTCCACCCAGGGTGAAAACTCATCGTGTAAATTGGCTCCATGAGGCAAATTGACTAAGGGCCGGTTGTTCAATATCTGGTTATCACTACCTCCCAGTTAAACATTATTATCGACGATTTCGACTTCATGCATATAAAGTGCGTACTTTTATGTAGATAATTATTTTGGCGACGACCGGGCTACGCGACGACTGTGGTTGTGGCCAGATTAGATCTATTCAAACCCCTTTTTATTTTAGTGTGGAAGAATCGGCAAAGAAAATGAGGCAGATTTTCCAATTTATCACCCCTATGCTGTAACCCGAATGTTCGTAGCTACGAATTCGTAGCTCCGTTCCGAAAATTGATATGCTGTAATCCGATCGTAACTATCAGCGGCGCTGCTAGCTAAAAACGTGAAATTCGAAGTTCTTAATCAGCTGCTTTGACATAAACAAATCAAAATAAATATAATCGCAAGTGAATAGTGCAATTAAAAAAACTAGTTTAATCATTATTTAAAAAGAGTTTTCCTTAATTAAGTAGAATACAAAGGATTCAGTGGCCGGTGCACTTTTGTCCCAGGAGGTAGAACACCTAACAGTTGCTAATATACAAAGGAGATTGTTCTGTTAGCTTAAATGATAAAATGTAAGCTCCCTACTTTTAAGGGCCTCCATTTCACTAGATATTGACCTTCTTTAATTCTTGGAACGCTTTCCCAAAATTCCAGCACATCCTCTTAGCTCCTTTTACAAAGCCTCGACCAATGTCTGGCCTTTCGTTCATGCATTCCACCAGTTTTGCGTATTGCGAGCGATTTGTTGTGATCTTCGTTCTGATATTTTTGTAAACATTTAATAATACATTTTTTTTCTATTCACACTTCAACTTACGTACCTACTTTTGTGTTTACACTCTTTACTTTATTGATATTTTAATACAATTTGTTTCGCTCCGACACGAGTTGCTATTCGTACAAAATTTCCGACAAATACATAAAAATGACAGCTACGTCGGGTTCAGGCATACCAACATTACGAATTTCGAAGATGGCGACAACGCGGATTACAGCATACCAATTTTACGACTCGTAGCAAAATCAAATCTACGACGGATTACAGCATAGGGATGTATATTTTTATTGGGTATACATTTCGCACACCGTCTTCAAAAGAGGCACAACTCGAAAATTAGATCGGGAAATATAAGTGCTAGTGGATCGTACAGATATAGTATAAGTATAACATTCGTTTTCTACTTAGAAAATATAATCATAAAAAAAAAATATTTTTTTATTAATTTGAGAAAAATCCTACAGATTCATTTATGCAAAAAATCCACCAAATTATTTTTCCATTGCAAAATACTTTAGCAAATATAAATATGCGGATTTTTGAAATATTAAAAAGTTAAGGTACAGATATATTGAAAGCAGAATTCATGATATACCTTTTTAGAAATTTATTGATTAATTTTTATATTTCGTATTAGAATTGAGTTGAAATTTTAGATTTATGTGAAAATTGTAAACAAATGTTCTGTCCAAAAATGTGGTAGATTTTAAGCCTTGTGTGGTAGATGTGGTAGACACCCAAATTTTAAAAAATATGTGGTAGATCTACCGCATATGTGGTAAAGGTTTGCACACTGGATCTATTTCTATTTTTCCAACGACAGATAAGGTTCTTCCTCTTCTTTTATGTCAAACTCATACAAGTTCATGATGTCGCTGCCGCGTTCAAAAACATCATGTCGCCATCGACAAAGCATTTAGATAATGAAGATAACAAATTGGCAGCTGTGGCCCGTAGCTCGTCGTTTTCAATGTGTTCAGAACTTAACATGTGTGCGATAAAGCAGTAGTTGTATTTAACCGGAGCTTCTACTTCCGATTTGTGTTAACCAGACATTGAGCAACCGGCCCTAAATAGCTTAGCTATTCTGTGCATTGAGTCCGATTGGGCCTGAGCACACTAGCCTGCACAGTCGGACTGAGCAGTCCACCACTTGAACGCACACTGGACTGGGCAGTCGGCCGAAAACAGGTTTCAGTTTTGTATACATGAAGTACGCATAATTGTGTTAGTGCATGTGGCACATGCAAACAAAACGAAATAGAAAACATGTTGTCTATGTGTGCGTGTCAGTCCACCGTCAATCCGCGATTTTCGCGGACTGAAATGAGCGAGGTAAACTCGAACTCTCATTCCCCTCTTATCCACACAAAACCGGTTTTTGGCGGACTGAGCAGTCCAGTGTGCGGAGGCCCATTTACTCCAACGCTTGGAATGTGAAGATTTGTTTCCATTCAAAAATATGTATTAGAACTCACAAGTGTAATCAATTTTTAGTTGCATTATCATATGTATAAGAATATGTAAATATGGTTATTATCTTATAATTAAACATTGAATGAATTTAACCACATATTTTGCATTTCAGTTGTGAATTGTATACGCAAAGATTTTCTTATATTTCATGTACGTTAAAGAATAAAAGGGTGGCCTGTTTCACAGGGCACAGGGCGGCATTTTAAGTAAATCCAGCCCTGTTTATATGGAAGAAAATGCTTAGCACCGTCGGCAAAAAAAAAACTAAAAAATCTAATTTATAGATACAGAAAATTAGTTGTCGAAATGTAGTGATAGTTATGCAGCTATAAAAATTTTACGGGATTATCGAAATTTGTCGAGTTAATGAAATTTATCAAGCTATCGAAATTTATTGCATTATCATTATTTATAGAGTTAATGAAATTTATCGAGTTCTTTGAACTTATCGAGTTGTCGATATTTATTTAAGTACTAAAATTTTAAGATTTATCGAATCGAAGTTTTTGGAATTTTCAAAGTATATCGAGTTATTGAAATTTTTAAAATTAATACGTTTATTGAATTATTACTGCTTATCTTATTTTAAATGTGTTACCAGAGTGTAACGAGTTATCGAGATTTCTCTACAGCTTTCGAAAATATGAGGCATCAAAATTTACGGAATTATCGAAATTTATAGAGGTATCCTAAATTTATCGAGTTATCGATTTGGTAGAGATATATAGACTTTTGAGTTATTGAAATTTATCGAGCACTTAAGGGCACAGTTATCGTAAATTATCGAAATTGGTCGAGTTGTCGAGTTTTGTTTAGGTACCGGATTTTAGTGTTATTGAAATCCGTTGAATTATCGGCATGTACCAAATTATCGACAAACTGGTATGTATCGGGCCAATCAAAGTACTGCCAAAGTCCTCCAAAGATATAGAAAATTGTAGTCACGATTTAGTTTCAAAGCAAGAGATTTTCGATAGGTAATTTTGTACGTTACGTTGTATAATAATAATAATAATTATTATTATTATAACTATAATTATAACTAAATAAAAAAAAATATAAAGAATCCTCTGCGCCCGAGGAGTACTCGAATCCGGATCCTCTCGACCGGCAGCCTAATGCTTTGACCACTTGGCCATTACGACTCTTCGGGCGGCGCCGCAAAAGGCATACATAAACGCTATCAGTTGACTGTCTGTGTTTGTTTTCACCACACATTTTCTCTCCTACTGAATAGCCAAATCATCTCAAGTCGCAAAAATAGTCACTAATTGCTAATCTCAAATTTAGTGACTTGAAATGACACTGAATTACTGAATCCCAGGGTAATATAAAAATAGGTTTCTTGTAGTCCCTGAACAAATAGATGCCCTACTGATTGAAATACGGCCTTGAATTTATATCTGTGCATGTATATACTCAAAATTGATATTTATAATTGAGTTTAACCCTTTTATAACTTTTTAAATTAGAAAATAGCATAAAAACCTACCCGGGTGCCCGGCAGAATTGGATGTCCTTTTTATGGAAGGAACCGATGTGGCTGAGTGGTTCAAGGTGCGCCATACCACCCCGTGAGGCCTGGGACAAATCCCTAATCCCTACTTGTAAATTTTAAAATATTTTTTCTAACAGCCCTCGGCAGAGAACGGCACACCTCCGAGTGTATTTCTGTCATGAAAAAGCTTCTCATAAAATCCATTTGCCGATCGGAGGCGGAGTAAAACTGTAGGTCCCCCCATTTGTGTAACAACATCAAGACATACACCACAAATTGGAGGAGAAACTCAGCCAAACACTTAGCGTGTAAGCGCCAAACTATTAATAATAATAATAATAATAGATTGGCGCTTACACATATGTTAGTGTTTGGCCGAGCTTCTCCTCCGACTTGTGGCGTGCGCCTTGATGTTGTCACACAAATCGGAGGGACCTACAGTTTTACGCCGACTCCGAACGGCGATTGTATTTTTAGGAGAAGCTGTTTTTCATGGCAGAAATACACTCGGAGATTTGCTATTGCCTGCCGAGGGACGACCGCTGTTAAGAAAAAAAGACCTTTTTCTATATTTTTTGCGATGTTGCTTTGGCCAGGGCTTGAACCCAGGTGTTGATGAGTGAAAGCGCGCACTACTTACCACTACACCACAGCGGCCGACAATACACCACAGCGCCAAACTATTACCATTATTATAAAAGTTTTAGAAAGATTAGTGAAATTACTACATTTTTACAGGGAAAAAGTTGAGAATCAGAAAAGTTTGTGCCCTGAGACAAACCGTAATTTGCTTGTTGTGCCGTATTGACACTTAAAAACCCTCCAAATTACTACCAAATCCTCAACCTGGCAACTCATTTCGCTGATAACGCTACTGTAGTTAGGTTGCAATCGCTATTCATCATAAAAGCAAACATAAACCGATTGTAAAATACACAACAACATGCTTACCAACAATAAATATAAGATGCACGTTACGACAAGTGACAGTCCTCCACATTTCTTCATTGCCAGTGAAATAATAAAAGCCCCAAATAGCGCTAGCAAATTATCTGATATTGGTCCGAGTTTTTGAAAACACCTAGAAAAAATTTGTATGTAAAATCAAAATCAACTGGGTACTTGCATATTACCAGTTAAATATTCTCGAGAGTCCGCTTGCACTAACAATTATTAAAATCCAAATGAAAGAAACAATAAGTATTGATAATACTATAGCCATGCTGTGAATAATAACAACCAAATAAAGTGATAATTCGCGAACTGCGCCATTGCTTTCATTCGGTGTCAAGAATTTGCCCAATAAACGACAACCTAAAATTTAAGAGGAAAATTTTAATTATTTCTATATGTATGCATATGTAGCTAAATATGTAAGTTTAATGAGTTGCGAGGATAGAGAAATTAAAGACTCGTATCAATATGAGATTGGTGTAGTGAGAAAATAACCACATTTGTACATATGTATAATATGTTAAAAATAACAGGCATACGACATTTTGACCAGTTTTGGCTATTTTTCTTTTGAAGGTGTGCCTTTCTCTGCCGAGGGTTGTTACTTTTTATAAAAACACACCTCATTACACCGTGCGACAAAAAAAAAATCACAGCACACGAAGCAATCAATAAACTCACTCATTTTTAGTTTTTCTCTCTGACGTCAGGATTTTTTTAAAGAACTTTATAATTCCAGAGATATGATAAATTCCAAAAATCATTTTAAAAATTCAATGCAATGCAGAATAACAGTATGGATACCAAATGAAATAGAAAATTCTGTAGAATTCAAAAAAAACTAAAGGTTCACAATGACGAATAGGTATTGAGACTGCCCTTTTAATCAAATTTATTTTTTAAACTTTGTTAAAAGAAATTTCGTTTAAGAATTTAACCTTTGTAAACTTAGTTTATTGTCAAGAAAAACATTTTTTTATTAAAATTTCGGAACAAATGCACAATACCTACAAATCTCGAATTAAAAAAAAAAAATAGGATCGATAGAGATCATTGAGGTAAACATAGCGGTATATATATATTTTTTGGGAAACAACAACTACAACAATTACACTATGCGACAGTCAAAATCGGGATGGGATGAAACCAACGGGAAATGTTATATCGGTCAAAAACAAGTTATACGTGGCCCGGCGTTTCATAAAAAATCCAAAACGGAAAAAAGTGTCACGTAAAGTCACATAACATTGTTTGAAAAATATTTTCCCACCAATCAGCAAAAACATAAAACAAAAACAATAAACATAAAATAAATATTCTTGTCAAAATGAGATGCCTTCACTTAATTGTGAATAAAAGCGAAACGCGTCCATCGATTTTTATGATCTATGTCTCATTTTGCTTAAAGGTTATGTGACTTTGCGTGAAAGTAATACGACTTGCCTTTTTTTCCGTTTTGGATTTTTTATGAATTTAAAAAATAAAAAAAATTAATATTTTAGGCAAAAAATATTTTTTTTCTTCATACATTTATATTTACCGGCAAAACTGTTGATTATATAGAAAAACGTTATATGAACAGATTAAAGGAATTGTAATTTTTAATTTTTTTAAATTTGTTCGAGCAAAATCGGACTAGTGGTTCTCGAGTTATGTCAAAAAAAAAGACCACCAAAGGTGACAATTTCCCCTATATGATAGTTACTAACTTCAAATCGATATATCTCGATTCCTAGACGTGTCCCGGCGTTTCGCTGGGTATAACTTCTTTTTTACCGATATAACTTTCCCCGGTAGTTTGAACCCTTCCCGACCATTGACCCCTACCATTTGTCTCACAGTGTTATTAAAGGTCAAAGTTCAAATTAAGCATTTTTTAAATTAACATTTCTCGAAAACCTCTCCAAGGAATTGGGCAATTTTGATGCCATTTGATAGAGAGTTTAATTCTCTTTAATTTGATATACATATTTACACATATACCTTTTTATAGTTTTCACAAAAATTTAATTAATGTGTGTATTTGCGTAGGCGGCCTTCGGCCGCACTTATGGATTATAACCCTCATAAAGTAGAATTCTCTTTCTGTGTTGCGAAGAAAAGGCGCTGAACACCTTTTGCAGAGAACACCTTTCTGCGTAGGCGGCCTTCGGCCGCACTTATGGATTATAACCCTCACAAAGTAGAATTCTCTTTCTGTGTTGCGAAGAAAAGGCGCTGAACACCTGTTGCACAGAACACCTTTCTGCGTAGGCGGCCTTCGGCCGCGCTTATGGATTATAACCCTCACAAAGTAGAATTCCACATTAATTAGATTTTTGTGAATACTATAAAAGATATATGCATAAATATGTATATCAAATTAAAGAGAATTAAATTCTCTATCAAATGACATCAAAATATCGAGAAATATTAATTAAAAAACATGCCTAATTTGAACGTTGACCTTTAATAATTGTTGTAGTTGTTGTTTCCCAAAAAAATATATATATATCGTTACGCTCACCTCAATGATCTCCATCGATCCCAACATGAATTTTTTTAATTTGAGGATTGTAGGTATTCTACATTTATGCCAAAATTTCTTTTCTAGAACAACCTTCTTTTCAATTAAATATACTATAAAGCTAAAAAAGTTAGAAGGACGAAATTCTAAATTTTTGTCGAGATTATATTAGTCTTGAGCATACTTTTTTCAAAAATATATATTGCAAAATTTCAAAGATATTCAAGGATAAGATCGTTTAAGCCGCCGCTTAAACGTACTTTAGCGGCCGTGCGCGCATCCTTTGGCCGTAGCTGTGTGGAGTCGAAGCGACCCCGAAAATTATTCCCGGGCGCGCACAGCCGCCTACCATCATCGTGCCAAGTGAATTGGAGTTTCAGTTCATCAATTAACGCCAGTTAACGCGCACGCGTTCTAGTATTTCAAGTCATTGCAAGCTTATCTTCCAATAAATTTTATACATGTATATGCAAACATATACACATTGGAAATTTTAACCTTAAACAAACTAAAACTTTGTTTCTCAAACTCAAATCTTTCCCTTAAGCGGAAATTTTACTGTTTATTGGGGTGAGTGCAAGGGGACCAAGCGTAAAATTATTCATGGTCCTTCGAGCCGGATACTAAAGTAGTTAATTTCTGGCACCCCAAATGATGCTCAATAATCTTGCTTGATGCATCACAACTCTTCCGGAGTTGCTTCACGGGGCTCTGTATGACTTTCAGCATACAGAGGTGGTACAAGAGCTGGCATTGGCCACAGCGCCTACCCAATTTTCTAACTTGAATACATAACCGATGCTCAACTTGCTTGACGCATCCACCCACAATGCTCAACAAACTCACTTGATGCATTACAACTTTTCCGGAGTTGTCTCACGGGGCTCTGTATGGCTTTCGGCATACAGAGGTGGTACAAGAGCTACCATTGGCCACAGCACCTACCCAATTTTCTAATTTGAATACATAACCGGTGCTCAACACTCCCGCTTGACGCGCACCCCCAAAATCTCTTACAGAGTTTAAGCGGCAAAGCCACAGCGCTACAAGCCGTAGGGACTCTGCATGACTTACAACCATGCAGAGGTGGTAACTGATGGTTATCATTGGCCCCGATGCCTACCCAAAACATTTTGCTATAATAAATTTTTATGCAAATACATTCATCCTGGCCATGCCCTCTCACTGAGTTAAGCAAAGATTTTGAAAGGATATTTTCAATACCTACTCGTACTTATGCACCAAAAAACTGAATCTGTTCTTCTAAAGAATTTTTCATTTAATTTTATCCCCAAACTGTTTTTCTATATTGCACTGCATTTTTCAAATAATTTTTTATTACTTACCACGTTTTTATCATTTCGAATTCTTGTTTTTCCAGACATAGAATATACAAAACTGGTCTAGACGTCTACCTCGCCGAAAGTAGAAACATATTTAAAAACCGCATTATTATTATTGAGCCTAAAAATATGCACTATACTGCAGCGGGACCGCGAGACACGCCATTTCTTTAACTGAAATTAATTTCTGCTCATATGTATGTGCCAGTGGCCTGTACGATTACGTTAGTATCGTACGAGTACGTTCTCTGCAGAAAATCTGACAAGCGCAGAACTAGCGTAGAAAGCGACATTTTGCCGACAGTACTAGTTCTAGCTCAATACCCAAGCAATGCTTTTAGTTTTTAACCGGTTCCGTTTTGGCCAGTTTTTATTTAAGAAAACGTTTTTAAGATTAGATTTTTGAAAATCTTTCCCGTTTTTTCTTTTCCTTTACAGGTTCCATGTTTGTTACATGTTTTATAAAAAGAACAAAAAATGATTGTAAGCGGCACGCAACAATTTAAATTCATTAAATCTGGAAACTGACAACTGCCTCCACCGCGATTTGAACTAGCGACCAACGATGCTTGAGTCGTTTCCGTATCCGAAAACGCATACAAAAAACTCCTACAGTTATCATCAATTTTCGTATCCGGAAAACGTTCGAAAAAGATGATGTCATTTGAAAGCAATAATTGTATTTTATTTGCTTAAGCTAAACATTTGAAAGCATACATGCGTAGTCGGCAGTGACTGAGGAGTGTTCCGCTATTCGTTAGCTTCCAGAAGGTGCCGGGTTCGAATTCCGTCAGGCGCTTCCTAATTTTATTTTATTTCTTTTGAACCCTGAAAAAGTATCTGTGAAGTGCAGAAGGAAAGCGTATTGAACGAAAAATTCTATCAGACAAATTTCAGAAAAACAGCCGAAAACGTATCCGTTTCACATACTGTTGTCTGTACGTACGTTTCTGCCGCACACTTTAGTGGGAAATCGGATCGTCAAAGTATCTGGAAATGGAATCCGTAAACGGACAAAAATCCGCACTTCATCCACTTTTTTGTCCTTTTTGGGATCGGTTTTCGGCTTTTTTGCTGGCTGGGAGTATACACGTAGTTTGTGTTAGAAGCACGAACATGTTTGTATTTTGTCGTTTACTATGTAAAGAAGCACGAGCATATATGTATTTATGGTTCGTTGCTGGAAAGAACATACGAGTTTTGTCGTTTGCTATACAAAGAGGCACGAGCATATATGTATTTATGGTTCATTGCTGGGAAGAACATACGAATTTTTGGTCGTTGCTATTCAGAAGCACGAACATGTTTGTATTTTGTCGTTCGTTGCTGGAAAGAGTATACACATAGTTGGTGTTAGAAGCAGTGTTGCCGTTCTAGCCCTTTGGTGGCTAGATTTAGCTACCACATACTGTTTTTGGCCACATAAATTGGAAATTGCCCCTAGCCCTTTTTTTAGCCCTATGGAGAATTTCTTCGTCCTTGGCATGAAAAAGTTGTATATGCTTAATTTGA